TATAATTTTATTTCTTACAACACCGCATTACTGTGATGTACAAATGTGCAATATTTTATAAATTTTATATAATTTTATTCTTTTATTATTCCTAAGGTGTATATATAGTTATAGTTTTAACTTTTCTTTCTCCCTTCCTTTTCTTTCTTCCTGCACTTTAACTGTCTGTGAGCTGCTGTGATAAGTGAATTTCCCCACTAAAAGTTTATCTTATCTTATCTTATCAAGCGGTCAAACGGCATGAGGGCACAGAGTTGACGGTGCATTGTTTCTCATTGAGATGATAAAGACGCATTGAAACTCAGAGACAAGTGGTGGGCTATGACTGTTGCGACTAGATTCTGACATCTGGGCTAGAACCTTTTCAAAGGACAAGGCACAAGCTCTTTAATTGCGTACCTGGCTGGATTCCCCTTCCCAAGATGTTAAGGGAGATTTTCAAGATCATTCGGCAGTTCTCACTTCAGTGTGTGAGTGTGAAGCGTGGACAACTTGTACCTGAAGCTCAACTTAGAGACTAGACAGCCTATGTGATAGGACTCAGGTTCAACTTTCTCTTGGTTAACTTCACACATTTATCATTTATATGAGTCCTTTGTGTCAATATATGTGTCAGATGAGGCATACAGAGGCAATGGGGCTCTGTGGCGCAATGGATAGCGTATTGGACTTCTAGGCTCGGTGTTAGAGTTATTCAAAGGTTGTGGGTTCGAGTCCCACCAGAGTCGTTTGCTCCCCTCTTTTTGTTGCGTGTTAGTCTCTTCTATACCAGACAGGGTATCTGAGAAGAATTCCATGGTGAGGAATCCTGTCCTGACAAGGCAATTCCCTACTTATCATCTTAAATGGAATGCTTCATTGGCCCTGGTTGAAACAATATCGTTGTTTCTGCTTATTTGGCCAAAATGAAGCTGTTTCCTAAATTTAAGTCCCTACAAATACTCATGACATGGATTCCTGTCACAATTTGTGCTCACACATGCAAACCCCAGACTAGCATTCTGATTAGCAAAGATTAGAAACATATGCTGAGTACCCTCAGAGCAATTGCTGTCAACAGTTGTTTGCATGTTGCTTTCGACTGCAAGTTTCAAAAGCATGGGCTGTTGAAGATTGCCCCCAAAAATGGTTGGGGTGCTGTGGCTTAGTTGGTTAAAGCGCCTGTCTACACACCATGCCAGGAAGCCAAATTGTGTTCAGGTCCTTCCAGACTTGTTTGCTTTCAGACATGTTGCATGTTGATTTCAAGTGCTATCAACAGAAAAGCACCTGTCTAAAAACCAGGAACTCTTCTGTGATTGCAAGCACTATGCTTTCCATGAATTTGGACTAACCAGACATGAACTTGGGCTCTAAAGTGCCTGTCAAGTAAACAGGAAATCCAGAGTTTGAATTCCAGTAGTGCTCGATGCAGGACTCTCCTGTTGGTGCAAGAGCTATGCCTTTCTTACAACCTGAGTTGAAACACCGCACAAGCAAGCCAAGATGGGCTCTGTGGCACACTGTATGGTGACTTCTAGGCTTAGCAATGATGCTATTAAAAGCTCGTGGGTTCAGGTCCTGCCAGAGTTGTTTGTTTTCAGACACTAACTGGAAGGCTGTTCCAAAACTGTGGGGCTTTGTAAGAGAAAGCTCTGCCCTCTGCTGTAGCCTTATCTGAGGTACCGAATATGTGGTCATATTTGCTGATTCAAGTAAGGACTCTGCCTGCTGCATTCTGGACTACCTGGAGCTTGTTTATGCACCTACTGGAGCATCCAGACGGCAAGGCATTACAGTAATCCATCCTAGAGGTAACAAAAGTTAGTTTTTCTGCATCAGGTAGTGACATTATATTTCTTATCTTAGCAACATTTCTGAGATGAAAGAAGGCTATCCTAGAAATATTATCTACATGAGCTTCACATGAACGACTGGAGTCAATAATCACACCAAGGTCTTTTACTGCTGCACATGATGAAACAGGAAGGCCGAAAGCTTGCTTCTAGCTGCCTGTGGTCCTAGTAGAAGTACTTCTGTCTTGTCGGAATTAAGCAGAAGGAAGTAAGTAAGCATTGAGTTTCTGATGTCCTTTAGTTTATTAAGCCGGTGTCTCTCATCTGGCTTTGCTGAAACATGTAACTGTGTGTCATCAGCATAACAGTGGAAGTTAATACCATGTTTATGGACAATTGCACCCAGAGGGAGCATATACAGTCAGGTCCATAAGTATTTGGACAGTGACACAATTTTCGTAATTTTGTCTCTGCACACCAC